GCCCCGCATGCAGCACTGCCGCGGCCCCCCCTGCCCCGCCACGTGCTGGTCCCCAAGTGGGGCCGGTAAGTCCCTTTTTTCTGAATATACTGTGCGGTTTTTCAAAGTTTTTGGTTTGACCCTTCGGGGTGGGGAAATGACCAAAGAGGAAACAAAAAAGAAACTTTGAAAAAACGTGCAATATATTGACCAAAAAAACGGGACTTACCCCGGACCCTAAGGGCCGCTCCACGCTCGGGCGCTCACGGAGGCGGCAGCCTGGGCCTTGCACAGCACCCGGCAGCCGTGACGGGGGCTGGAAAGAAGAAGACGGGGTCAGCGTCAGCAAGCGGGATCGCTGCTCTCGGGGCAGCGGGGAAGGAGGAGGAGGAGGAGCGGGATCTGATGGCGGAGCGAAGAAGGGGTGACTACAGAGAGGGAGGATGGGATCGGGGGCGCAGGCAGAGCAAAGCTGCCACCACATCCACCGGGAGGGAAAGCGCGAAGCCGAGGGTTGGGGCAGCCCTTTGGCAGCACTGCGAGAGACACGGCCGCTCGGGAGGCGGGCACGTCCCGGCTGAACCCAGGCCGAGACCCGACCCGACTCGTTTCATTCACGGGCAGCAGCCGGCAGGTCCTACCGGTCCCCTTCGCAGCCGGGGCTGCAGCAAGGCCCCCGCCAGCCTTGCGGCGCGTTGCGGGCAGCAGCGCAGACAGCAGCAACGTCTGCCTGCGGCACCTCCCCGACGCTCACGGCTGGCCCCAGATTTACACGTGAAGCGGCAATTAAAAACCCCCTTAAAAGCAACCCCAACGAGGATGGCGGCCAGCTGCGGAGCACGAAACCGTGCTGGCCCGTGTTTTACGCTGACGCCGTTTAGCCAAGCAAGCAAAAACAGCTTCCGACTGCAAAACCCAGCCGGGACTCCTGCCGGTTCTTGCCGAGAGAGAAACCACCGCACGGCAGCAGGTCTTTCTGGATCAGAAAGGAGATAAACTTCCCTCAGACACGGCCTTCCTCCCCTCGGCTCGCTGGTGGCAGCCCACGTCACTGGGACTGGGCTGGGGAAGGTTTGCCGGGCAGGAGGGGAGGACAGAGCGGCTGCCGGGACGCGTCTCTCCTGGCAGCGGGGAGCTGAGCAGGCGAGGTGGGGGCAGAGGTGCACCAGGGCTGCCCGTGGCTCACAGACCGCTGGCCAGGGCCACGTCTGGCTATTTTTGGCTTAAGGAAGACACTTGTCCCACGGAGGCGAGGGGCTGGGGTTCACTCAGAGGGAATGGCGATGCCTCGCTACAGAGCTTGGAGGAGCGCAGAACTTGTGCGTGCGAAGGCACCTCTCCCGATTCGGCTACCCAAACCAGCAGCCATCGCACCCAGCGGACGCAAGGAGACGTCCCGGCCCCGGGACCTGGCGGCGCTATCTGTGGTAGGGGCTGCTGGCCCAGAGGTGCTGCAGGAGGGAGGGAAAGCCCCGGTGCACCGCGTCCCTCAGCCTGGCTGGGTCTCCCAGCTCTCCCGAAGACACCCGTCTCGCCCCAAGGACCCGGGCACAGCTCAGCCTTCCCCCCCACACA